GGATAAAAACAAATGTTATGATTATCAGAAATGATTAAGTCATGATTTAACAATACAAAAAGATGCAATGGAATTGGTAATGAAATTAGTTCTCAGGTTGTGGTGCGGTTTCATGATGTAAATTTTATTCTTGAGTACTATAACTTACATGATATATTCATTTCTATACATAAAATATTAAGCTTTAAAAATACTAAGTGTAAAAATCATTTAACTAAATTTAAAGCAAAAGATATATTTTTTGGGGAATATTAGTTTAAAGAAATATCTATTGTTTTTGAGGTCTCAGAAAATGTTTCAAATGAGAGTAAATGCTTGCTCTTTGAGGTACTTAATGATGGAAACTACCACACCAAGGTGCTAGGAATAGGGTATTACTGATAAATGGGCAGCTCATAAGTTCAAGGGTGGACTTGTTGGTTAGGATTTGGTAGAAACAAACAAAATGCTCTTTATATAGTTCGAACAATTGAAACTCTTCTTTATTGGTAATTTCTCAATTACTGTTCTATAAACTACAATATATTCCATAGGAAAAACTGTTTTTCTTATTATAATTTCCATTATTTTATTTTGTGTTTTTATTGTATTTTTTTATTACCATTTGTCTCCCCATATACCCTTTCACCTCCACTCACCCCTCCCCCTCACAATCACCACACTGTTATTGGTGTCCATGAATTCTTTTTTGCTCTATCCCTCCACCCCTTCCAACCCTTCCACCCCCAGCTGTCAGTCTGCTCTCTGAGTCTCTATTTTACTCATTAGTTCAGTTTATTCATTAGATTCCACATATGAGTGAAGTCATATGGCACTTGTTTTTCTCCGACTGGCTTATTTTACTTGGCGTAAACCACATATCCTAGTATCCTATAAATAACTGCTAACTTTTGCAACATTAATTGTCCTATATTAGAATATTACAGTGATGATTATAAAAGAAAGAAGGAAATACTTGTAATATGTAACAAGTATTTTATAAAAAGAAAAAAAGATAAATGAGGAAATAAAGCTCCTAGATGAGATGCAAGAAGAAATAAATATTGAATGTACCAATCATAATGTTGACTTTGAAGTAATACTGGTAACTTACTTTGGAACTGCTTAAATCAAAGGAAGGAAACTAGTAAAGCATACAGTCTCAAGGTTGTAATAGTATCACAGAATCATTCAATGTTATTTACAAATGATAAGACAAGACATTAATAGTTGATTTTTATGTTTTTTAGCAAGTTAAAGAAGGAAATTGGGATTGTGCATAAAATGAGTTGAAGAAAGAAAATAAAAATTTTAACTATTTGGAAACATTCTGTTTTTGAAAAATGGAGTTAAAGTTTTAAAAATTATTGCAAATCTATTTTGTATACACATTGGACAGATTACAAAGATTATTGCTGATTATGATAGAATTTTCTTCATATGCTTATGTCCCACAGTTAAATGGAAGGAAGACTGCGACGTCCCTGGTACAGAGCCCATGCCATGGGGTGAGTGAACAGCCTGCCAGGAGTTGCAAAGTCTTTCAGAAAACAGGCAGAAAGGTAACTGCTGCAGCACTGGATGTTCCAATAGAAAAGTTAATCAATTCAAACCTAAAAAAAATAAAATAAAAAAAAAGCTAATGCCAAGTTTTCTTTCCTGGTAATTCTCTTGTTGGTGGTACTGGCAAGCCTTTACTGACACTGAAATTTGTTTCTTTTCCTTTCTTCTAAGTTTCTCCCCAAAGCTTGGAAAATTTTGTATATTTACATACATTTTCATAATTCTACCAATATAATTAAGAACAAACAGAAATTTCCAAAAATCTGAGTTCCTTCTTTGAGATTTGATCATTACAGGGATCGGGTATCCTGATGCTATTCCTCTGTAGAAATTTTCTATTTTTGTTCCATTTTAATTGAAACATTTTCTCCATTGCTTATATTCTGAATCCTAACCTAATACTGTTAATATAGATGATGGTATCTCAAAATAGATACTGAAGGAGTTCTAGCTTTGATTCCATAATTTGTAAGTGCTTATCTTCGGGCTATGTTCTCAGAATCCCTATGTTTCTATAGAAGGGAAGGGAATCATTTACTAAATTCTCAATATGGCAGCTTAGTGCAAACTAGATGACTTACATTTATTATTTTCTTTAATAGCATCTCACAGTGACCTTATTGGGTAGACATTGTTTCTATGTATGAGAGATGTAGGACTCAGAAAGGTTATATGGCTGCCCAAGGTGTCTCAGGTAGTAAAAAGTAAAGCAAAGAGTATGTTTGATGGCAAAGCCCCTTCCAGTACACCTTACTTCACTTTTCATTACTCTCTGACAGCTCCTGAATCCTCAAGAGGAGTTAATGAATTCCTAGCATGACTTGTGAACCATTTTGGTGAGAACCTCCTACAGGTCAAAATAGGGAGCTTCTAATCTCTTCTGGAGGGCATTAATTTCTGCTTAAGACAATCGCCTATCTTCAGGCAGTTAGCTCACTGTAAGTCAGAGACAGGAGGGATTCTTCTGCTGTGGTCAGCGTTCTAAAAGAAACGTTGCACTTCACTCCTTCAAAATGAGTTCCAACAGCAAAGCTTAAACATTTCTTGACTAGAATTACTTAAGCCTCTTTGGAAAAACAGAGAACCAAGGTCAGAGATGCTGAAGTCTCTGATCATTTAATCTTAAATATGAAAGCCTTAGTGCTTGTAATCTAAAATAATGTTCCTAGAAGAGCAGAATCCTTTCTACTGAAAGCTCATAGTTTCTCCCTTGTTAACTGAAACATACTGGGAATTACAGGAACTAATGCCAGAATATTTAAATCTGCTTTACTGTAGCTAGCACTGTACCAAATGTGAAGTTGTAATTTATTCCTCCAACACAGTTTACAAGCAAAGAAGATGAACTGTAAGTGGTAGTCTTACAAATACTATCATCCATTGTTATGCCAGGTATGCCTCTCACAAGAAACCAAAGGAACGTATTTACAGTCAATGGAGCACTTGCTCCTTAAAGGCCTTGCTTGCAGATAGGAGCTGAAAATGGCAGAAATGTTAAAAGACAGACCAGAGATAATAAAAAATTCACTTATAGCAAAAACATATGAAAATGAACAATGTTTTATACAATCACACACATCTAGGCACTTGCTTTAGAAGAACAATAATCCCAGAAGTTAATAATAAAGACCTAAACCAAAATGACAGCTTTGGGAATGGCAAACAAGGGATGGAATCAAGAAGACATAGAAGCAGCAAGTGTTGTAGAGGTAAAGAACATAAGTTGAGTTTGGTTATGTTCAATTTACTAGCAGCGTGTATACACTTGGTGCATTAAGTTTAGAGCTCAGGCAAGGCCTGGGCCATGATACAGATTTAGAAATCATATAATAGGTGGTATTTGAAATCGCTGGCATGCATGAGGTTATTTGAAGTGCATGTGTAAGATGTGAAAAGAACCCAAACCAAAAGTGTCATAGAAAGTTTACATTCATTTAGATTCAAGGAATGGACAAAGGAAGGCAAGCCTACAAGAGCCTATGAAGGAGACAGGTATCGCATTGTCTACCTGTCTCCTAAACTACACAGTGAGATCCACGAGGGAAGAAGTGTTGTTTTACTCATCTTTGTCTATCAAGGACTTAACATAGCACCTAACATTTAGCAGATATTTAATAAATGTTTTGGAAGAAAATGAATTATGCTTCTATATATGATGTTTTAACAATCCAAACCTAAAGTGCCTAAGAGGTCTAATTATATATAATACTCTTGCTTTAAAAATTGAGTTTGATCAGATTCAAAGATTGAATGCAAACTTCACTATTATTTTCCATAATCATGAGTGGAAACACTTGACAAGAAATTTAACAGTCTGTGAAGAGTGTGCTAATGTGTAAGTGACAGCTGATTTGATGAGCAGATGAAGGGGAAACAAGCACGTGAGGGGAAAAGAGAACCCATCTGAAGGCTTTTTTTTTCTAGAGGAAACAGAAATGGCCACTTTCAATTCTTTTTTTTCCTTAAAAGGACTAAAATTTTCGTTTAAATGTGACTTGGCATACACTGAGATTTTTCTAAGGACTGATGTTAGGGAAAACCCCCCCTGAAATTACAAGAGTCCAGGGATGGTTAATTTACGTTCCTAATAGGTAAAATATTATTTACATTTCTTCCCAACTTAAGTTTACGTTCATATTTTCTAAATACATTTTGGTGTTGACTGATAAAAAAATATATGAATATCCTGCATTAAATAATAGAAAAACCCTATTTCATTAAAGATGATTTTGAAATCACATAGTTAATTCTTGACTAATTCTTCACTCTAGCAAGTGTCTAATCTTTATTTCCTTTAACGAGAAGTAATACAAAACAACAACAAAATTAAGCCTACTGATATACATATTATAGGATTAGTGTAAACTATATAAAACTTTTTGTCTAGGTAGCGCCAGGGAATAAAAGGCTAGAATTTGACATTTAAAATTTCACTAGACTTAGGCCTTTTAATTTTAACATAATTTGTTTTGTTACCTCTCATTCAGTTTTATATTTTTGTACTGGAAAAAGAGCACTATCATGTGGTAAAAAGGAGCATGTAAGCCGGGAGTCTTGGTCCTATTCCTTTTCTGCTGTTCTATCTGAGTCTGATTTCTTGCAGGAAAATTAGGGTGTTTGTATAGATACCCTCTAATGGTTACTTAAGTTAGAATACTTTATGACCTATGAACAAAATCTTTTTAAATGTAAAATCAATCCTTTTGTGTTGTTTTTATCTGCATAACAAAAATAATGAAGAAGCTATATTTTATTCAGATTGCACTAAATGCAACTTTCATGCTGAGTTTTAAAGAAAGGAGCGTTTGATTAAAAACTGAGTACAAACCCTGTTCTCCCGTAAAAACCCTGGAGAACACCACCTTTCTGTTGTCTTTAGGGAAATTGGTTTTAATGGTCTATGAATCTTACTTGAGGAAAACATGAAAAGAAAAGGCAATGGGCAAATAGGATTGTACCTCGGTAGTTGATGATTTCTGTCCCAAGCACCGGAGTCATCTCCAGGACTGTGATGAAGGCTTTGTCCATAGATGTTAGAGGAAAGGGAGACATGCGGTGTCTTCTAGCCACCTTGGTGATATCGACAGCACTGTGACCTAGACAGGAAGATAATTAACTAAGAATATGATGCTTAAACACTGATTAAAAAGTGGGGCTGACATATAAATATCAACAACTCTCAATTTCTTATATCTGCAAATGAAGATTACAAGGGGAGGAATTTTCTCCTGCCTCCAAAATATAGCTTGCTTTGGTGGACTATTAAAGCAGGTCAGTGATGTTTTACATTATGTGTGAAAACTTGGTGGAATTTTAATGATGATATTGTTTGATCCTTTTCCAGCGTTACTATGTGTCATGGCACTGTTCCAGTAACTCAATCTTCACAATGATCTTGTAGGATGGATCATGATTATCCTTTTTTACAGATGAGGAAAGAGAGGTTTAGAGATTACATGTTTTGGTCTAAATCACAGAGCTGGTAACTGAAGAGCCACAATTCAAACCTAGGTAGCTTGGCTGCAGAGTCCATGTCCTTAATCACTATACTAAACTTTGAACATTCAATGAGCTAGTTAGTAAAATGCAATACCCAAAGTTCATCTTATTTAAGATTTCACAGGAAATCTTTCTTCTGAAAAGAGTCATAAGAGATTAGCATTTAACTACTTTCGACATCACCTTAGTCCCATGGAATTAATATCACCCATTTACTAAAACTCCTAATTTTATATCTCTAATCCCAACCTCTACCCACAACTATAGATCTGTATGCTGTGCAAAGAGCCAGTGAATAAGAATATATATCTCCAAACTTATAAATCATCCAATGTGCACTTGGATATGTAACACACAATTCAAACCTAACCTGTTCAAATCACTCTTTATTTCACTACCCTCCTATGCTACCCACACAATGTCTTATTCTCTTGCAATTCCCATCACAATAAACAGCAACTCCACATTTCCAGTTACTGGTCTAAAACCTCGGAGACACTACACTCTTGATTTTTCTCTTCTTGTCAGAACCATATCTAAATTGCCTTTGAAACACTTGGAGACTCTGATCATTACTTGCCACCTCCACCACTATGACAATAGCTGGAACCATCCCTTATTTCCTGGGAAACTGAGTAGCCTCCTACAGGTCTCCCTGCTTCTTTGTCCACTAAAATTTATCTTCCACACAGTAGTTACAGGAATCCTTTTAAATTGTGAATTGGATTGTGCTCATCTCTACTCACTCCCTCCATTGACTTTCCATTCCACTCAGAGTGGAAGCTTTGCTGTGGTTTACAAAGCCCAGAGTATTATGGCCCCCACTGTTCTCATTTATTATTTTCCCCCTTGTTCACTGTACTCCATCTATGTAGTTCCTTATTTGTCCTTGAGCATGCCAAATACATCTCTCGTCAGGGTCTTTGTATTTGCTGTTTTCTCTATTTGGACCTTTCTCCCTTGATATTATGGTTCCATCTATCCCTCACTTCTTTCGGGTCTCTGTGCTAAAATATCACCTCATCAGAGGGTCTTTGTTAAACTTCCTATATGGAATATCACCTACCACCACTCTCTATTATCCTTACCCTACCTTTCTTTTCTTTATGGATATATGTGTGCATGTGCATGTATCTAGATATGGATATTGATATCTATATACTTATAACATAATGTATTTATATTCATGTGTTTATAGCTTTCTTCTTCTTAGTATAATGTAGGTTCCATAAGAGTAGCAGCTTTTAATCTTTTTGTTCAGTGTTGTTATTCCTAATACCTAGAACAGTAACTGGCACATATTAAGCAATGAAAAAAATAAATATTTGTTGAATTAAAAAATAATCTTTAATGACCAAAAAAGAGACTTCTTAGAACACTATATCCTTATTCATAAATAACTTGACCTTTTCTTTGGAACCTTAAAGGTCTGTGGCCTAAAAGGTAAATGGAAGAGGAGGAACTGCAAACACTGTTGCTTGGCTATGCTAACCTCTACCCACAGCTCCCTTCTCACCAGCCACCTTGCAGCTAAGTGTCCATATGATACAGTTCTGGGCAGTGAGATGTGTAGGAAGAAGTCCCTGGGGCAGGCTTCTCATCACAAATAAAGTGATAAAGATGCAAAGGTCTAAGAAGAGAAAGCTTTTGCTCTTCTACCTTCTTTCTACTTGGAACATGACTAAATACTGAAGGTGCTGTAGCAATTTTCAATCATGAGGATGAAAACCTACTCAGTAAGTATGGAAACATAAGAAAAAAGAACCTGAGCCTCTGATGACAATGTGGCCTGTTGACAGGTCTTCAGCTGCCTGCTTCCAGACTTTCGATATGTGAGACAGACTTCCACCAGTTTAATCACTCTATAATGATTGCCTATATCTCTCAGTTGTCTGTTAGTTCCTAATTACTGCAATTTATTACATTTAGTACTCTTACCCAAACCCTAGCAGCTGCTTCCTACATGTTTGCTGAATTCACTTAAAGGTACTACATCAAAGAGTTTTCATTCTAAGACAGATGACATTATTATAAGCACTCAAGGAAAAATATATATAACGATGGTTATAATTATGATATTCCTTCCCATGGATAATCATAAAATTAAAAAATCTTCAACGCTTGAAAGCCCTGAAAATTTATTTAGTACTAAATATGAACAATATTTTCTACTCAGACTTTCAGTGAATATATAAAAGAGGACTATGTATGATTGATTTATCATTCACACAAGTGAATGATAAATGGAATATATATGGAAATATATATAATTATTTATAACTCACTTTCACTGAAGTTCTGGTCTTGTTATTCAAACATCATAAAAACATACTGTCACAACCACTGTAACTGGGAGAATGACAGAATGCTTCTGCTTTTTATTCAGATTTATAGATCTCGGATTTGATCTTTTCTAAAATAGCCTTTCTTTATGTTACAAATTGCATATAATCTTATGGAAGATATCCTTTCAAAATGTTGTTTCTGATTAGAAAGCTGTACTTTTTAATTGTGCAGTTTTTTGTTGAATATGCATTGTTTTCCATAGACTTTTTGTTATTAGGAAGCAAGTTTGATTATCAGTAATACACACCCACTGAACAAATATTAATATTTATTCATGGATTTTATGAACCAGGAACAGTTAGGGTCGTGGGATATACAGAATAAGATATATTCTGCCATGAAGAACATTACAGCTCAGCCAAGGTAACATTACATTACCCTGCTAAGAAGAAATGTAAGTAAAGAAAAAAGCAGGAGGGTAGCAAACCATCTGATGGTTCTCTAACTATAGAGATAGGTAGTTCTCTCTCTCTCTTTAAATTAGAAATTATAATGTGGATATCTACCAGCCTGGAAAAATATTCCCCATCTTTAAAATAATTTGTACCTTGTTTATATTTTTCTTACAGTACCCACTGCCTTCCATCATAGGTTATAGGCATTTAAATATTTGCCTTATCTATGTTGGTCGATTGTAAACTCCTTGAAGGCAGGTTTATATCTCCTTAATCTTTATATCCTTTGCCACACTTAAAATAGTGCTTTTTCTTATACTTATAGTAGTTACTGAATAAGTACTTGTATGTATGAGTAACAATCTTTCAAGCAAAGTCAAAAGTTGGGAAGGAAAAGACAAACTGGTGCTTCCTGTTCTGCCCTTTTGCTTTTCTTTTTTAAAAAAGTACATTTTATTGATTATGCTATTACAGTTGTCCCAGTTTTCCCCTCTTTCCCCTTTATGCTCTTCCCTCCAGCAATTCCCTCCTCTTTCCCATCAGTTCATGTCCATGGGTCATGCATATAAGTTCTTTGGCTTCCCCATTTCCTATACTATTCTTAACATCCCCCTGATCGATTTTGTACCTAACAATTATGCTTCTTATTCCCTGTACCTTTTTCCCCATTTGTCCCACTCCCCTGCCCAGCTGATAACCCTCTGAATGATCTCTATGTCTATGATTCTGTTCCTGTTGTAGTTGTTGCTTAGTTTGTTTTTGTTTTCTTTTAGGTTCAGTTGTTGATAATTGTGAGTGCTGTCATTTTAATGGTCCTAGTTTTGATCTTCTTTTTCCTAAATAAGTCTCTTAACATTTCGTACAATAATGGCTTGGTGATGATGAATTCCTTTAGCTTTAACTTGTCTGGGAAGCACTTTATCTGCCCTTTCATTCTAAATGATAGCTTTGCTGGATAGGTAGGTCCTTGCTTTCATTACTGTGAATACTTCTTGCCAGTCCCTTCTTGCCCTCAAAGTTTCTTTTGAGAATCAGCTCACAGTCTTATGGAAACTCCTTTGTAGGTACTTCTCTGCTATTCTCTGCTGCTTTTAAGAGTCTTTCTTTATCTTTAACCTTTGTCATTTTAATTCAGATGTGTCTGAGTGTGGTCTTCTTTAGATGTAACTTGTTTGGAACTCTCCATACTTCCTGGACTTGTATGTCTATTTCTTTTGCCAATCAGGGAAGTGTTCTTTCATTATTTTTTCAAATAAGTTTTTAATTTCTTGCTCTTCCTCTTCTCCTTCTGGCATACCTATGATTTGGATGTTGGCACTTTTGGAGATGTCCCCGAGTTGTCTTACTTATAAACTGCCCTAATTTTAAAAAATTCTTGTTTCTTCATTCTGTTCTGGTTGAATGTTTATTTCTTTCTTATGTTCCAAATCATTGATTTGAACCCTAGCATCCTTCTCTTCCTTGTTGGTTCCCTGTGGATTTTTCTTTATTTCACTTAGGTAGCCTTCATTTCTTCCCTTATGTTTTTGCTGTAATCATTGAGTTCTCTGAGCATCCTTATTGCCAGTGTTTTGAACTCTGCAACTGATAACTAGGCTATCTCCATTTCATTGAGTTTTTTCTGGGTGTTAGTTCTGTTCTTTCATTTGTGCCATATTCCTGTCTCCCTGTGTTTGTTTCTGTGTATTAGGGAGAGCTGCTTAGATGCCCTGTCTTAGTGCACTAAGGTGTGGAGCCTTAGTCACCTGGGAGGGGCAACCCACTTCACTGCTTTGTGGTGCTATGTATAGGGGAAGGGCGGGAGAGGGGACAATGCTGCTGCCTGGCCTCTGGAGACTTGCTAGGCATTTGCTCCC